TAATATTAAAATAATCAAATTTTATTTCTATATCTTTACATATATTTTTATTCTAATATCTCCAAATTCATGAATTAACAAGTCGTGGAAGAAAAAATAGTAAAATGATCACCAAATTCATCAATTAACTAGTCTTTAAAGAAAAAAAAAAGTGGTAAAATGATCAACAAGTTGAAAAAACAAATTAAATTAAAAAAAAAGACGAATCCATGAGTTAAAAATAAAAGGCAAAAATAACAATAAGATGATTTTATTAACAACAAAAACAATTGGTAATTATTTATATAAGAATACAAAACATTTTAAATACTCAAAACTTAAAAAAAAAACACAAATAAAATACTAAAAAATCCTCAACCATTCATGTACCCTACTTAACCTAAAAAAACTACTGGGTTATTTTTAAACGCAAGAAGTATCTGTTGGCATTTATTACCTGAATTAAACATGGCATAGCTATTCAATTTTAGTAAATGGGTGCAAAGCTATGTAATACGAAGGTGCGATAAAGTTGCAACAGTGAAGCAAGCAGAGCAGAGCAGTGAGCAAGCTCACCAGCATTAGAAAGAACGGGAGAACCACAAACCCATTTTTCTGTGTTCTTTTTGGTTTTTTCTTTCTTCCTTTTTGCATCTCCAAGAAAAAAAATCATGGCTTCAACCAATCTAATACTCTCCTCAACCCTGTTGCTCCTTTTGGTCGGTTTTGCAACCTCCGATATTAACCAAGACAGAGCAGATTGTACGGACAAACTCGTTGGTCTCGTTGGTTGTCTCACCTACGTCAGTGGCGAAGCCTCAGCCCCCACCATGGATTGTTGCTCTGGTCTCAAACAAGTTATCGACAAGAGCAAGAGGTGCCTCTGCGTCCTCATCAAGGATCGTGATGACCCAAGTCTTGGCCTCAAGATCAACGTTACCCTCGCTCTTAAACTCCCAGAAGTTTGCAAAACACCCACTAACATAACTCAGTGTGTCGGTCAGTTTTTACGCTTTTTTTTTGTGCATACGTATTGTAATCTATGAATCACCCTTCATTTCTTACGTGCCCCTGCCAAATTTTGAAACTTTATTTCTTGTTTCAGATCTTTTGCATTTGCAACCTAACTCCCCCGACGCTAAGGTGTTTGAAGGCTTTGACAAAGCCCAGACCAACAAAACTAGCCCTTCTTCGGGCCCTGCTGGTAAATATATACTATTTCATTCACTTTTATTATGCATAATCCAGTTTTGATCCCATTCTTCTGTAGTTGCTGTTGTGAATACAGTTTTCTGCATTCTTTATATACAGACAAAATCAGTCAACACAACCACAATTACAATAGAAAATACTCATAAAAAAACTTAGCTTTTGCTGTTGCTGTGTTAGCGATCCATGTAGACTAGAGATACCCTCACAGTAAACTGATTGCATTAATTGGGGTGTGGAGTTTTGGAATCCGATTACATAAAACGGGGATCAAAATCATGGAATCATTGAAAAAATATAATTTTGATTGATTTTAACGATGTGGGGGGATTGAAAATTGTCTGCAGGTTCTGCAACGGGAACACCATCAAGTGGTGCGAACAAGAAATATGGAGGGTGGGGAAAGAAGTGGGTGGTGACAGAAGTGGTATGTGGAATTTTACCCTTAGTGTTTGTATCCAATTTGGTGTTGTTGATGGTTTGAAGGATGAAGATGGAAGGTTGGTGGTTGTGTCTTTTAATGTTCTGGTTTCATGTGTTGTGCATAGATATGTTGAGGATGCACTATGTAATTTGTTGGTTCTAGTAGCTAGCTAGGTCGTGTGTTGTCTTTTTCCTCTAGTTATCATCTTCGGTGTGCCCATCCTCTTTTGTTTCTCAGTGATTAATTTTCCAACTAATGGAAGCATTCAGAGGGACCTCTTATTTAACCTCCATAACATGTATGTTTTAAATATCTTTCTGCTACCACCTTCTGTTCACGTCATTGCAACCATCGACTAATCAATGTTGACACTTTTGTTAGCACCCCTTAATGCTACAAAAGACGTTTAATCATTTTACTAGTCAAATGCTTTAAATAGTGGTGATAATAATTAAATAACAAACTTAAAGCATAATATAATTATATATATATATATATATATATATATATATATATATATATTTTTTTTTTTTTTTTTTTTTTTTTTTTTTTTTTTTTTTTTTTTGTGTTTTAAAATATAGGTGGTATATATATGTGTGTGTGTGTGTCCAAAGAAAATGAGGATAAGTGTTGGAAATTTTAAGCTTCATAATTTCTAAAGCTTAAGAGTGAGCTTTACCTACTTGCGAAGACATGGTCCTGTTGTGTTCCGTGTTTAAATTGGATTTAGACATTTTAGGGTGTATTTTGAGAGTTTAAATTATTTATTTTAAATACAAATCGACCAATAATCTTTTGCCTAGTTTTTATGTTTTTGACATTTTAGAGTGAACTTTATGATGTCTAAACTCTAAACATTAGGCATAAATTGATATATTAATCATGTTTAGAGGTGGTAAATAGTTTATATTTCTTGGATAGTAACTTTTAAATCGGTTTTATGTAGGAAATATGGGTCGAATCATTTTGACATGCTTTTAAGTAAATATATTTTTTAAGATTTTGTTATAATATTTTTTAAAATATAAATGTTATTTTATATAATAGACTAATTTATAAATCTATGAATCGATACAATTTATAATACAAGACACGTCGTATCGGTCTCGGTCGACTTGAAAATCGCCGTGAAAAAATGTGAAAAGAGCTAGACATTTAAGTCCGTGAGTCCATACAGACCTACCTTACATTTTTATTTAATTTTTATTATTTATATGTTGAATATTATTAAATTTTTTATTCATTATTTCTTTAATATCATATATTTAGAAATACAAATCTAAATTTTATTTCGTAATTCATTTTAATATATTATTATTTTATATGTTTGAATCATTAATATTTAATTTTTTCTTATAATTGTTAAATTATACTAAATCGTTGTTTATATCAAATGGTCAAATTTAGGATTAAAATAGTAGAATTTTTTTTTTCATTTTTTTTAAAATTCACGTTGTCAGTTAATAGACTTGTTTTCGAGGTCTCAAATGATATGGAAGAAATCAGATTTATTAGCCCGCAACTTGTATACGATTTAGTCCACATTAACCTATTTAAGCTTTTCAAATGTGAAAGAAGCTAAAATAGAATAATTTCGTTCTGGTATGAAATGATGGACAAAATGATAATAATTCTGATTTTATTTGTGTTATAATTTTCTTTTTCATCTTTATCATATTTTAAGAGTTTTTTTTTTTCCTACAACTGATCGTAGAGTCTTACTTACTCTATCAATTCCTATCATTCATTTTGTTGTTATCCCAAACTGCTCACATAATATTTAGCCGTCAACCAAGCCATCCATTCCTTATATCACCAAAACCAAATTCTCTCAACTTCCAATTAAATAACAATAAGATATTCAAATAAATTTCTATTTTTCTAATAAATCAGTTTAAGGATAATTGAAGTAAGATGCAATAAATATATTTTATCTTAAAATATATATTTTTAACGTATATTAGACATTCATAAATTAATAAATAATCTTATGAGTAAAAAAATTAATAATGAAAGATAAATCTGTATCAAATTGTACTATTTAAAGATATCATTTTATGATTCTACTTTTACATTTAGTTATTGGTTTTATGATTTATTTTTATCTCATTAAGTAAGTTTTTCACATTAAAAAAATGTTATTTATTCTCTTAAAATTATCATCATGGTTGTTGTTATTATTATTATCGTCCTCTTTATATTATAAGTTTGTTTTAAGCTATATAAATAGTGAGAAACTTTTGTTTCCCATTTTCCCATAGTGGTATCAAAACTCTCTTGGTACTAGAGAGCATGTTTATGGCATTTACATGAAATGAGTCATTTCACACAATGAAAATATGTTCATGTTGATTGATTATTGCTACGTTGAAAATCCATTATTGAAGATCATTTAACATGAAGCTAATGAAGAATGTTGAAAAAGAATGAGAGCTTCTGAATTGAAAAGTTATGATCATTATTCATAAGTATATTGATAGAAGTCTCTTTGAGCATGTGGTGAGGTACACAAACACGAGTTCTGGTTCAAGCTTAAATTTATGATTCAAAAGAAAACTCCTAAACATAAAATGCACCTTGTCAAACAATTTGTGAAAATGAAATACAGGGACAATCAAAACATGACAAAAGACATGAAAATTTTTAAAGGCTTACTCAATCAATTAAGGTTGAAATGAATGTGGTGATGAACTGCAAGTGCTTTTGCTCCTCAATTTATTACCCTAACAATATAATCTGCGTCTAGAAATACTAGATCTCATCTTGGTGGAAAATTTTGATGTTTATAAATATACTTATTTAATTGAGTTAATTATTACCGTCTTTTCATTGATTATGAGACTTCTAATGTGTATTCTAGTTAGCGTCGTTACTATTACATTCATCAAAACATTCTATGTTCCTGGAATAAATGGAAAACAATTGGAATCTTGTATTAACGGGAAGCATTACAGAGTAAGTTTCCAAAGAACGACCCCTCAAAGATGAAGGAAGATCTTGAACATTTTTTCTTTAAAACCTAAATCAAGGATTTACTTTGGCCTTGAGTGGCCGTGTCGAGACCAAAGTCGTTTCTTAAGGAACATAAGTGAGAAAGATGGATTTAAAACAATGAGAAAGAGGGGTTTGCTTTCTTTTAAATATAGAGAAAGATACAATAGTAACCAAAACTTGTGTAAGTGTTCGGAGCATCATGCAGTCAAAAGAAGCATGCCGCAATTAGTCAATTATATTACTGATTACTTAACTTCAAGGAAATACTTGATATAGATGACGACATTACAGTGTTTTAGATTATATTCAATCCCTAGCAAGTCGGGGAAAGTAATCATTCAACCACAGAGAAAAAGATCACGTAGAAAATAATTAAGGGTAGCATGCAAAGCTGTTTCTTTTGAAAGACCCGACATCGCCATTCATTATTAAGCACGTTTAAATCTGATCAGAAACAGAAAGTTCTGCAACAGACTTGAAGTTTAAGTCTCAACTTAAGTATGTACATAATATATTTTCATAAAAGTCTCCCGTGAAAAACAAATAGAAACCATACTCAGTTTGAGTTTTGACACTTTGACATTATAAGCTGAGCAATAGAGGCACAGTAACATCTTAAAACGTCGTTCTATTATGCCATACTTTTGGAACGGGATCTACTCTGTCAGAAGCATTGGAATTTCATCTACCGTGGCAGGAAGCTGCAAGTACAAATTGCAAAAGATTTATACTAGTTAGTTTTTCTCTGATTATTTAAGAAAAAAAAAATACCAAGACTAAAATGGAGCAGGAAACTTGCAGGGGAAATAAGATGCAGATAATTAAGTTATACTACCATACCAACAATACAATTTGTGGAAAAAGTGTAGTTATGAGAGATTGGTTATGTTCATTTACAAGGGTAACAGATTATGGAAAAGCTAGCAACAATACTCATATCAGATGGTATGATCAATAGTGTTTACCGCTCAGACACAGAGGTTAGAAAAGGCTTAAGCAGTTACCAGAAGTTCAATTCATGACATATAACAACCTGCATCAGACACAGACCATTCCTGGTGTAAAAGTTATTGGAAAAGAGCCACCAGATTTAACCCAAATTAGAGACCCAATAAGCACCCCCGTGAGCCTTTTGGGCACATAATGAGAGATGATAAGGCTTGAGGAGTCCTAGTATTTCATGAGTTAATACGTATTCAAAGTTGCCCCAGGAGACAGCACTCTACTATCTGTACCCTTACTTTCCCTAGTCCACAAGGCATGATTAGAGGCTGCCTCAGAATTGAAGGCGCGTTATCAGAAACTGCTTATAAGACAAGGAACTATGGGAGGGCAAATGGACCCTTATCAACAATATTGTTCAATGTTGTACTACAAACAAATAGATCCATTGCAGGGGTTCCTTGTATTGCCCATAGGGCGTATATAGACTTCATTGAGACAATTCCCCCAACTTCTAAAATACCATTTTAGTTTTAATTTATGGGTAACTCTGCAGTTAAGATAGAGAATCCCATTTAAAAAGTTGAAGTGTGTTTTATAAGTTACTCCAAAAACATAGAAACATGTTTGACAACAAAATCACACAAACACCTTTGACCAAAATATATTTGTTTACAACACACACTTAGTTTCTAATCTTCCAGTTTATTTTCATAAACTACTTTATTAAATATTTAATCTGTATCTATGACAGAAAAGCTAGCTAACAGATTATGAAAATAACTAAATATATCATTGTATGTCATTCAATATATACCAACCAATTTTATCAACATTGCATCTCATTTAAGAACTCGCATACTTTTCCAGCAGAACTAATTTTGAGTTGTTAACATCTCACAAATGACCCCACATTTTTATTTGCTTTGAGTTCTTCCACAATGGTCATATTGTTACACGTGGAATACAGTCTAGAGTACTCCAATGGTAATATTGCGCAAAAACTTATGTTAAGAACCCACAGTCGAAAAGGTTTCAGTAACTTATGTTTATGCCAAACACAACCTTAATTGATAACTCCTAATCTTTCCATGGACCTGAGATGAAAAGTCTAAACATGTGGATACACATCTATTAAAACACACACCCAAGTATAAAAGCTGAATTGGATCAAATAAATCACACATACATCTCATGAAACCAATAAGAGCCCATCAGAGGGGGTTGTTTGGAGAAAACAGCATCCAATTACAGCTAATTCCGAAAAACAAAACGAGGGTTGAAAGAAGAAATAAGAACCTTAATTCGGCGTTGAGCGCAAGGAGAAGAGGAGGAGAGTGATTTGCGTCAGGAATGAACGGTCTTGAACTGGTCAACGTTGAGTTTCTTGTTGATGATGCCGACCTGGAAGTAGATGCTGTTGGAAGGGGGCAAATCGACCCTGATCTCGTCGACGTTGAACCAGAGGAGAAGGCGCTGCACCTCGATGCCCTTCAGATTCGTGATGGAGCCGTAGCTGAGTTTGCCGGTGATTTTTTTGTCGTAGTAAACAAGGTACTCAAACTGTATGTAGCAGGGCTTCGCCAAAACGACGACGAATTGACCGTCCTCGTCGAGCGTGTAGTCGGTGACGGTGTCCGGTAACAGACCACTGGGGAGCCCAAACTTGGGGAGCACGTCGTACACGCTCTCCTTCGCCGTGCATGCACGCGCCCAGAACAGAGCGATCACAGCCATGACGAGCGCGTGTGACGACCGTTTTGCCATACCGGCAATTTCTAGAGAGAGAGAGATAGAGAGAGATTGCAGCGACCGGCGGTGTTACGATTCTCTGTAGCTCTCTATCTCTGCGTTTTGTCTCCTTTCCGGAAGAGACTCTATTTCAACTTTAAAGACCACAACCCCTGTCTATAATTTCCAACTGTTGTTTTTATCAAAATATATTAATAAAATAACTAATCCTTATAACTATAAACTACACCATTTTTAATGTGAAATATTTTAATGATTGAACGCAATTGTTTAAATAACCAACCACCGTATTTAAATAATGCAATATTAATTTAAAGTTGTTATTTTTTAATTACATTGCATATTTTGTGTTTCAATAGCTTGTGAAAGTGATTCTATTCTTTCTATTGCAAGTCTTAATATTAAAAAATTTGCAGGTTTTAATACTGAATGTTGCAATAACACTATGTTTATATATCGCTTAGAGACCATTGCACGTGTCCTGGTAGCGTGAGAGGAAATTTTGTTGTCGTTGAATTTTCTTGTATTCATTTCAAGCTTTTCGATTTCTACTTATTTTCAAACTATTAATTATTTTTGCACATTTGTTTTTTCTGCACCCTCATAATTTGTATGTACACCCCTGGAGGTGGTAAAATGTATACTTTTAAGCTAATTTTTCTTTCTCGTTCCTTCACTGTAGTTATTGTTCCTTCTTTTGTGACAGTGTTGTAGATCTATGGTCGACACTACCATTGTTGGTGCCAGAAATTGTCTTCATCACTCATTACACTGCACTGAATAATATTTGTATACTTTGAATTATAATTATTTATCATTTCTATTTCCATTATTAACAGTTTAATACTTTTAATTATTTTAAATAGTTTAAATATTTAATTTATTTGTTAAAACGATTTAATTAAATCTTATGTTAGATTAATGTTAATTTCGCTTTTGTACGTGTTAGTTTATGGTATTTTCAAATTTTTAATTTATCTTTTATATTTCTTTTATCATATGTCAAGTTCTTAGCTGTCGTATGAGTGTAACGTGACATTAAATTCAAGATAATGTGACATATAGTATTGACAATAATACATGTCATGACAGAAATTATAAGGTAATTCAATAATAATGTTAGAAAAAATTAAAAATATAAAAAAATTAAAAACAAATTAGGAAGAAATGAGGATTTTAGTCCCCATTATAAAAAAATAAAACTAATTTTTTAATTATACTATAATAAATATATAATATAAATCTAAATAACAAAAAATAAATCAGGTTAAACTCATTGGTTTCTAAATAAAATAGTGAGTCTTATATTAGTTTAGGTTTAATTGGTCATCTAGGTTTCGATATTTTTGAGAAAGATATTATTCTAGAGAATTACTTCATACCAGCATACGATATGTTATTATTTTATTCTAAAATCTGGACATTACTCTTATAGTTTAGTAGTTTATTATTAAGAAATAGCTGCCATGTGAATTAAAAGTTACTGGTTCTAAAGAAATCACCTCGCAATAACGTAATAACAATGTATAGAAATGTAAATATGTGATTGTGTCGTTGGGTTTTTTCTGGTCTAATTAATAAATCATATTAATGAAATATATAATAATAATAATATTTTCTAACACAATATCTTATAATATCCAAACTCGTGGGACGCATGGGCGTACGTAGCAGAGAGACCACTCTCGCATCTTTTAAGTTTCAGAGTGTAACTTTAGTTTTATTAAACAGCATATTTAAATATTCAACTATCACCACTTTAAGTTTTTCTTTTGATTTGTTTTCACCCATCTTATCATAAAAAAAATGTAATCCTTAATCCTTCTATTGGTCTATTAAAATTTTAACAAAGTCATTACTTGTCATAAAAAAAACAAAATTTTAAATGATATCATTTGGAAAAAAAAAAGAGTGATAAAATTACGCTATTTTGGTTTTCAAAGTTCTTTAAAATATCATTATTTTGTTAAAAAATTAATGTAAAATGTGCCAAAATTAAAAGTTTTAAGTGGTAAAATGCCAAAAGAAATGAGCCATAAAATTCGTTAATGATAACGTAATTATAAATATGGTGGTTTTTCTATGAGGATTTAAATCTTATTGGTAAATTATAAAGGATTAAATATATTTTTCGTCCCTTAAGTATCACACGATTTTGCTTATAGTCCTACTCGAAACTTTGATGGTTTTTAGTTCTCATAGTTTTGAAACTCTTACTATTAGTCCTTAAAATTGGACGACGTTAACTTTTAGTAGATGTAGCAAACGGCAAGGCCACGTTTTATGCCAGCTGCCCTCTTCACTCTCTGCCATGTTGGTTGTTTAAGTTTTAAAATGAGATTAAGTATGTTAAGTGTGCATTTGGTTGAAGCGCACTTTGTCATCTGTTATAAATGAGATTTTAAAAAGTTGGGTTCTTCTTCGTCAATGCAGTTGGGGGCAAAGAAAACTGAGGAGGTAGATCTGAAGGTTGGAGTTCGTCTTCGAGGAGGTAAGTTGATACGTTTTGTTTTTCTCTGGACCCAACAATTCTCTCAAACCTAGCCCTCATGTACATCACCTCCATCGCTATTATTACTCACTGGCAGAACACCTGCACCCATTGAAATTGGCTCCACCGCCTTCTGGATTTCCTAGTCTTTCGCTCCACATTCTCTTCTGGTGGCAAATCCACACTTTTTACCGTTGCAGTAGGTCCTCCACACGAACTCTTGAAGCAACCTCAAACTCTTCTTCTCTGACTCTTTGTCTTTGTCGCATTCCAGCGCGATTCGGACCAGCCCAGAAGCCATTTCCCAAACCAAACCGGTTATGGGTGTTGCAAGCTCGTTGAGGAAAGCGGGTTGGGAACTTGGGTCCTTCTGGAAGGCGAAGTGGACATGGCCGCGATGGTAGCCGAAGAGGGTGCCGACCACTCGAGAACCGAGGCCAAAGGGAAGGTTGGAGCGGTTCTTGCCGAACACGGTGAGGACGGAGCGGAGCCTTGAGATTACCACGGCCTGAAGCTTTCTTCTTTGGGAAGTGGTAGCAGGGCCTGGGAGTGGAAGACCCTTGTCATCTTGTTCTTGTTTGTCTTTTCCCTTTGTGTTTGCGTCTTCCTCTATGATTTTGGACATTGTTTCAGAGGAGGGGACTTGGATGTCTTTATTTCCAACCTTGTTGGTCCAATGGAAATGCCTCTTGGAGGATGAGTCTTGAGGTTGAGGGGTTGAGGTTGTATCCATGATTGGGGTCTTAATATGAGAAGGAAGAACAAGCTTTAAAGGAAGGTCAGATAGTAGAGAGAGGGAGGGAGACAGAGAAACAGAGAGAGTATGAATCTGGTTTCTTCTTTTTACTGTTAGGGATAAATATGTTTTTCTTTTAGGTTTATTTAATTGTTTCTTTGTTATTCTAGCCATCTCCCCCTTTCATATAGTGAGTGCAAGAGAATCCTGACAAAAGAAACATAACCAGTCCCACCAACTGATATAGGAAATCGGAAAGAAACTGGGATGGAGTGCGCTTCAAATAGAAAAGAAAGGAATCTAAGGAGAATATGTGTTTGTTATTTCACTTTCTTGTGGGGTAGCAAATGAAGAGATAGCAAAACAAAACTTATCAGCTTAGACGAACTCCAACCTTCAGATCTACTTCCTCAGCTTTCTTTGCCCCAACTGCATTGACGAAGAAGAACCCAACTTCTTAAAATCTCATTTATAATAGATGACGAACCAAATGCATACTTAACATACTTAATCTCATTTCAAAACTTAAACACTACAAGAATGATTGAGATTACCGACGGTCATAATTCATCGATAATGTATAAAATTCGTCGATAATTAGCATTTACCGACGGCTTACCGACGGCCAACATACCGTCGGTAAAAACGTTGTCGATAAACTTTACCGACGGATCTTTCGTCCGTCGGTAATTACCGAAGGCTTTTGGCCGTCGGTAAAGCCTTCGGTAATTACTGAAGGATCTAGGCCTTCGGTAAATCCGTCGATAAATGTCGCGACCTGGTTCATCTTCTTCCTCTTCCTTCGTCGCTGTGTAAATTTTTTTTTCATTTCCACGAACTCCGCCACCAAAACGGCATCACGCGAATAACCATAGGGAATCATGGAGAGTTGAGCTCGCCGGAAAAGTTTAAGACCAGTGATGTTGTGTCATTTTATCATAGAGAGTTGAGCTCGCTGGAAAAATTTAGGACCGGTTTAGGACCGATGATGTTGTGTCATTTTATCATGCAGAGTTGAGCTCGCCGGAAAAGTTTAGCACCGGTGATGTTCCTAATCGCACAAATGAACTCTACAACAGCCCACCAAAAAACTTGAGCTTGCCGGAAAAGTGGAGCTTGCCGAAAAAGTTGAGAGCATCACGTGATGGTGGAGACTATCCTGCGATGGTGGAGAGCAACCCGCAATGGTACAGAGCTGAAGCCACAAGACGGTAAGGAGAAATGAGTAGTGGTGGTGTGAAACTGAGTTAGTAAAGAAAAAGAGGAGAAATGAGCGTCTTTGCCACATATATTGACACTGGAGGCAGAATTTGGGCGGGAAAATTCCCGCTCTTTTTACCGACGGACATGGACATTCGGTAAATCCGTCGGTAATGTCGGTAAGTGAAATAATGGGCGGGAAAATTCTCGCTTTTTTTATCGACGGCCAAAAGCCTTCGGTAAAACCGTCGGTAAGTGACATTGACATTACCGATGGATTTACCGATGGAACATGTCCGTCGATAATGTGTACGTCAGTTATCGACGGATTTATCGAAGACTTTTGGTCGTCGGTAAATAAAATTCAAAATCCATCGGTAATGCCGTCGGTAATGAAAATTTACCGACAGAAATTTATCCGTCAGTAATATTAATAATTTTTGTAATGAAACAATCAACGTGGCAGAGAGTGAAGAGGGCAGCGGACATAAAACGTACCATCGTCGTTTACCACATCTACTAAAAGTTAATACCGTCCAATTTTAAGGACTAATAGTAAGAGTTTCAAAACTATGAGGACTAAAAACCATCAAAGTTTCGAATAGGGACTTAAACCAAAATCGTGTGATACTTAAGGGACGAAAAATATATTTAATCCAATAATAAATAATAAATAAATACTCTCCGTGTTGCTCGTGTGGTGTTATTTAAATCTAAATTTTGA